ATAATAATTAATATTAAAAAATTAACACACAAAAAAATAAATGAGATTCTTAGAGACGAACGGAGGCAATATCTTTTTTATAAATATTACTAAAAAAATATACTCCCTCAATCCCTTAACAATCTATCAATTTTAATATTTTAGTCCGTCGCCCTGTAACAAAATATGAATTTCCTTCTAGTGCATTCCTTAGGCCATTTTGAGTCCTATGTTGTTGTCCCAATCCAAAGATGGGTTTGTAAATTCTCATTGTATTGTATTATATACTGAAGCGTTGAATGTATACTTGATTGAAGGAGGTTTGCTTCAAAGAAATGAGAGAATGAAAGTTGACGTCCGAAAGTCTAAGGGTGTGTTTGTTTTTGGGTTTTAATTTTAAATTTGAGATTTGAATAATAAAAATTTTAAATTGGAATGATCGTATGATATAATATAAATAGGTGTTTATGTAATATTTTTAATGTAAAATTATTTTTAGTATAATAAAAAAATAAAAATATATGTTTGATTTAATACTTTAAAAAAAAAAATTTTTGATGAATAATAAATATTTTGTAAACTTTAATAAAAGATCACAACCTAAGCTTGCAATAGTGCTTCTTTCTTCAGCTCAAGAGTCTTGTTCCAAGCCTTTGGCACAACCTTGTACTTAGGGTGCTCTTGTGACATCTAAGACTGCAACCCAAATTGGTAAATATCAATTTTTTTTTGTGCTTTTGTTTTTGACATAATTTTAATAAAACTAACACTTGTAGTAATTTAGCTACGTAGAATCATGACAATAGTTTTTGTTCTATTAAATAGAATGGATACCCCTGAATGATGAGCTTTTAGTTTCGCTATGTGTATTCGTTCACCAATGTTGTTTGAGAAATCAGAGGGATGTGGTTAGAGTAAAGTATCGTCTCTTCTATTGCATTGGTTGATCAGGAAAAGGTTAAGGTTAACTTCCATGGTTAATACTTGATCTCCTTTTCAAAATATTAGTTTCCGATTGAGTGAAGATGAAATACAATGAGACACATGCATCCAATATCTTTTCAACAATACTAAAAAAGTTCTGTTTGCATCAATACTGTAAAAATCATTTTCGGACCAACCTTATAGGTGCTTCCATCACCCTTTTTGGTTTCGTGGGTTATCCACTAAAACTGGTCATCACAATATCGACCAGGGTTAAATTAGTTATTTCTTTTTCCAACTTTTTGTGAGTATTTAATAGTATGATATTGAAAATGGTCTCATTACCAACAAAAATCCTATCGAGAGACTTGTCATTTATACATCAAATCAAACACTTATTTTTTATTTTTTATATTATACTAAAAATAAATTTTACATTCAAAATATCACATCTATACTCATTTATATCACATCATACTACTATTTCAATTCAAATTTTTTACTATTCAAATCACAACTCAAAATTCAATCCCCCAAACAAACACACCCTAAATCTAGGTCTTTGTCCATGCTCGTCAAAGCCATAGTAGTTCATTTTAATGCTAAGCTAGATTTTGAGAGAAAAAATTTAAATTGTGTATTATTAAAATAAGATTGTAAGCTTATCGGTTATGACTAAGGCACAAATTAAAAATACATGAAGGGTGTGTTTGGTCGAGGGTTTTGATTTTGAGTTGGAATTTGAATAGTAAAAATTTTGAATTTGAATAGTTATATGATGTGATATAAATAGGTGTTGATGTGATATTTTGAATGTAAAATTGATTTTTAGTATAATACAAAAAATAAAAAATAGGTGTTTGATTTAATATTTTTGAAAGAAAAAAATGGAATGAATAGTATATTAGGAGGAAAATAGCCCCAACAAAACTTAATTAAGAAACATGTACACCTAATCTACAATTTATTAACAATATTAAGGAATAAGTATGTATATATATATATATAATGTCAAAAGTTCAAATAAAAAAATATAAAGATCCATGAGCAGCACCTAAATCGACATGATCATCATTCATTAGTGTCTTTTTCATAGATTATAAATTATAAATTATTATTATACTCCCTGCGTCCACAAACTAATGTCCTATTTTTCTATTTGGGATATCCAATAACTATTGTCCAATTTTTTTTTTTAAACACAAATTTTATATTTTTACCTTTCATTCATTTATTACTTTTAATCTCTCCCGTACACTTAAGAGCAAATTTGTCCATTCATAACAAAAAGACAATTATTTAAAAAACTGTGCAAATATAGTTTAGTACAATAAAAAATGGACGAAGGAAGTATTTTATTAAGATTGGGGGTGGTAGTTAGAGTAGTGTTTTGTTTGTATCTATATGTATAAGACCTTCTAAATATACTATGTTATTCTTACAATGTGGTAGATGATGATGTTAAAATTTTGAATTTATGATTTTACAGTGATAAGTTTAACTCAAAATATCAAATTATACCTTACGGTATTTTTATTTGATTATCAAAGTGAAATTGTATTGTTACTATTGTGAATTTATTCATTTAGCCTTATATTAAATTTATAATTTCAAATTATCTAGAGAGTTGAGATAATATTGTGAAAGAAGAAACAATACATATATTATGTATTCCTTCCGTTCAATCCAAATAATTTTTTTTTGAATTTTACAGTAGATTAAAAAATAATAATATTTTATTAGTCAATAAAAGTGTGTAAGAAGTTTTGATATATATATATTTTTTTGTTATTGTTAAAATATTTTGTGAAAACTCTAAAACTTACATTATTGATAATCAAAATAAGAGGCTTATATATAGACAACCTAAATCATACTCGATAGACTCAAATCTAAATAACGTAATCCAATGGATATGACCAAATCTAAATCTAAATCTAAATCTAGCAAATTTAAAACTAAATATCGAAAATATATCGACATCCCCTCTCAAACTCAAGTGGGATCGCAGAGAGCAACTTGAGTTTGACAAGAAAGTTAAACAAAAATCAAAAGACGCAAACACATATAACAGTTGCTTGGTCCGTCGTTGGCGCCGCCGCTCTCGACTGAGCTCCTATTTTCGCACATAATAGTTGCTCGTCTGACGTCGCCTCCGCCGCTCTCAACAAAGTTTTTGTTCTTGAATGCAGACACAAACTCTAAAGCAAACTCAAACTCAGACAAAATTGTAGACATATCTCAAAATCAAAGACCTCCGGGAGCAACGAGGTTTAGTAGGCTATGTTTATCCCAAAAAAATTTAAATCTAAATCTAATTAATTTAAAATTAAATATCGAAAATCTCTCGACAGTTATATATAAAATAATTGTATTTGTAATAATATGTTTTTAATTTAAGTAAAAGTTAAAAATATTTTAATATTAATTTATAATTTTTTTAAAAAATAAAAAATAAACATTTTTAGTTGGACAATGGAAAATGATGAAAATGAGTATTTATTTTGTTTTTTCGAGGATATGTTGTGTGTATTGAGCTTTTGAGGAAAAAGAATTGTTAGATGTAATTATTGTGGCAGAACAGCCTTTTCAGTCCACCTTCGCTCCATATGCCACTAGATGTGATGATAAGGGTTGAATTAATATTTTTGGAATAAAATGATTTATATATATATATATATAAAATATAAGAAATTGTGTTAATAATTTAATAATAAAAATTATAAAAAATAATATTTATTGAATATAATTTTTTTTTTACGAAAGACTATAATATATACATTATATTGAGAATGGTATTAAAGGAAATTGTGTTGATCAAACAAATTCAAAAATAGGGGTGAGCAAAATATTCGAAATTCGAAAATTCAATCCGAATTAAATTGAAATTTAAAATTTGGTTCAAATTTTTTTGATTTTCAGATTGGATCAGATTGAATTTTTAACAAATTTCGGATTTTCGGGTCGGATCGGATCGGTATACTTAAAATCCGAACCAATCCGAAATCCGAAATATAATATTTTAATATATTTTTTTATTATATATATTTAATATCATATTAGAAAATGTTATATTTTAATATAAAAAACTCAAATTTATTAATTATATTTTAATATATTTAATTTTTATATATTATATATATTTAATATTATAAAATAATAATAAAATATAAAAGAATTTAAAAATTTTAAAAAAAATAATAAAAATATTTAGAATTTCGGATTTTTCGATTTGGTTCAAATTTTTTAGTTCGGATTACGGAATTTCGGATTTTGAATTTCGATTATTTCAGTTCGGTTCGGATTAGTTTTTTCAAAAGTTTCGGATTTTCGGATCTCCGAACCGAAAATCCCAATGCTCACCCCTACCCAAAAGAGAATTTTATATTTTTTTTAACAAGATTATTTTATCACAGTTCAAACCAAAATTTAAAACTAAATTAAACACGATTAAAAAAGTATATTTGTTAATTTTTCTAAATTAAACATATTACTCGTTCCATTCCAACTTAATATATGCATTTTTATTTTTTTTTAGTAAATTAAAAAAATAATATTTTATTAGTAAGTAAAAATATATAAAATAATTTTGATACTTTTATCAATAAATAAATTTTTTTATAAAAATTAAGGTATTTTGATATTTAGATATAATTATTTTAATTATAATTTTTGAAAAAAAATATTTTTGAATTAAATAAAATTTAATGGTAAAAAAATATGTTTGAATTGAAACATAAAAAATATTATTTAACACCCCATTTTCAAATAAAAAAATAACAATCCACAGCTATTTAATTATTATTATTGTTTTAAAAAAAGGCATAATATGTGTCCAAATTATGGAAAAACTCTATTTTAATACCAAATGCACATGCATGTCCACATATTTAAATAAATAAATAATAATAATAAAAAAAAACAACAGCAACAAACACCACTATGGAGTCATATAATTTAATTTAATAATTTGTGACACTGATAAACAAATTTAATAATTTAATATAATTAAGTATTATATGGTCTCTAATAGTAATAACTAAGATTGCCGTTATATATACCCACGGCCCCGAGGCTCAAAGCCAACCAACAATGGCATCCATCCAATTATCCTCCGCCATGTCACGCGCCGCCGTCGCCGGCGACCGCTCCACCCACAGCACTCCCACGCGCCGCTTCCACGTCTCCTGCAACCAACAAAAACTCGACCGCCGGAACATGCTCCTCGGCCTGGGCGGCGGCCTCTACGGCGCCGCAAACCTCGCCGTCTCAAACCCTCCGGCCACGGCGGCGCCGATCGGAGTCCCGGAGTTCACAGCCTGCGGCGAGGCCCACGACGTCCAATCCAACGATCTCCTCCCGGTCAACTGCTGCCCGCCGGTGTCGGGCACCCCGTACGTGGACTACAAGCTCCCGCCGGCGAGGAAAACAAAAGTTCGGCCGGCGGCCCACAAGGTGAGCCGGGAGTACCTGGCGAAATACGAAGAAGCGATGCGGCGGATGCGCGAGCTGGACCGGACCGACCCGACCGACCCGCGCGGGTTCATGCAGCAGGCCAATATCCACTGCGCTTACTGCAACGGGGCCCACGACCAACCGGGTTACCCGAATCTTGACATCCAGATCCACAACTCCTGGCTCTTCTTCCCATTCCACCGCTGGTACCTCTACTTCTACGAAAGAATCCTCGGCAGCTTGATCGACGATCCAGATTTCGCGATCCCATTTTGGAATTGGGACAACCCTAAGGGCATGCAAATGCCGGCTATCTTCGACCGGGACAAATCCCCGATCTACAACGTGAACCGGAACCCGGACCACCGGGGCCGGTCCATAATCGACCTCGGGTTCTCACGCGCCACCGACGAAATCCAACTCGTGGTGAATAACCTCAGCGTGGTGCACAACGAGATGATCCGGAGCGTGAATTCCACGCTCGACTTCATGGGCGCGGCCTACCGCGCCGGCGACCCGCCGGGGAACGGCGGAAGCGCCGGCTCGTCGGAGCGTGGGTCGCACGTCTCGGCGCACGTGTGGGTGGGGAATCCGGCGAATAAATACAGGGAGGATATGGGGAATTTCTACTCCGCCGGCCGGGATCCTCTCTTCTACTGCCACCACGCTAACGTCGACCGGCTCTGGAAGATCTGGACCGGCCTGAAAACCGACGTGCCGAAGAGCATCTCCGATCCCGATTTCCTGAACGCCGGTTTTCTGTTCTACAACGAGAAGAAGGAGCTGGTGCGGGTGAAGGTCGCCGACTGTCTGAACATGGAGAAATTAGGGTACGATTACGAGAGGGTGGACACGCCGTGGCTGAATTACCGGCCGTCGAAGAAGGCGGCGGCGGCGGACATTAAGAAACTGGCGGCGAACGCGGAGGCGGCGGAGAAGATCTTCCCGCTAACGCTGAACAAGATTGTTAGGGTTTTGGTCCCCAAATCGGCGAAGGGGAAGGCCGACGAGGTCCTGGTGCTGGAGGACATCGAGACAGACTCCACCAAGTTCATAAAGTTCGACATTTTCATCAACGACGAGGACGACATCCCGTCGGAGCTGGACAGGGCGGAGTACGCCGGGACCTTCGCGCAGGTGCCGCACCGGACGAAGGAGAAGAAGGGAAAGACGTCGATTAATCTGAAGCTGACGGACGTGTATGAGGACATCGAGGTCGGGGATGACGACACTATTGTCGTCACCATTATCCCGAGGTCTAACGGCGATGCAGTCACCATTGGTGGGATCAAGGTCATTCCGTCGCCGCCGCGGTCGGCCTGATCGATCGGCGATGGATCAATTAATCAATTGATTGATTTAAGGGAATCGAATCAAATCAGATGTGTGAAGTCAAATAAAGTGAGTGCATTGTCTATCTCACTGACCGCCATGAATAAATTTATTTATCCTCACTGTGCGTTTGCTCGATCGGACCGCCATTAGCACGGCCACTGAGTTTTTTTATATGTAATAATGTTGGTATTCTGTCTGCCTGCTCATTTTCTATCTATTTCAAAACGTGGTTTAATCGGTTCAGTTATTATATTTATATCCAATTAAGTGCGCTCCTTAGTCGCCTTTCGTGGATTTTTTATAGCAAAAAATTAATAAAATAAAAAATTTAAATAAATCTAGCGGAAGTTGATTGATCCATACACTAGGGTGTGTTTGTTCGACTTTTGTATTTTGAGTTAAGATTTGACTAGTAATAGTTGTATGATGCTAAGTAAATAGGTATTGATGTGATATTTTGAATGTAAAATTAATTTTTAGTATAATATAAAAAATAAATAATAGATGTTTGATTTGATATTTTTAGGAAAAAATATTTGATGAATAATAAAATTTGGACAAAATTCTACAAACGAACACACCATAAGTAAACAATTCATTGGATAAGATACCCGAACCATTTTCGATTTTATTGAGTCTAGTTTACATGATATTAAGTTCGATTGAAGATTTATCCGTACACTTTTGAGTAAAAGCTATTCCCACGTCATAAACAAAAAAAACCTACATTTTATTTTTTGAATATTTTATAAATATCAATTATATATATATAATTTTCTTCAATGTATCTCGGAGAGATTGTAAATTGCATATTGTTAAGAAAATAATGCAATAGGGAAACAATAAAGAATAATAAAAGACACAAAATTTGATAACTCAAAAATGGCAATTAGCTTTGGTCTCAAAATTATTCCGATACAACGGTAATACTCCATCCGTTCCAAAAGTAAGTATCCATTTGCTTTTTGCACGTAATTTTAGAAATATTAGTATTATATTGAGATATAATAGGAATAAAGTAGAAATGATTAAAATAACCTTATTAGTATGTGTGATATAAAGGTAATGACATTTGTGTAATATATTGTAAGTTGTAAGGGTATTTGTAATGTTAGGTAGATAGTACAGTTACTTAAAAAAAGGAAATGAATACTTTGTTATGGACGGACTAAAATAAAAAAATAGATACTTTGTTATGGGACGGAGGGAGTATTATATAAATAATAAAAGTCAATTAATCTTATTTTATTTAATTAAGAAAGCTCAAAAAATTTTGAGTTCATACAAATAAATATAGAAAATTTTGAAATTTTATTATATATAATTTTATTAATTAAAAAAATATTATCCATCAAAAGAGATTCGGAATTCTACCAATTAGTATTTTTGCAAATATTTTTTACATTTTTTTTTTTTTTGCTTTTTTTTTTGTATGGCGTTTTTGTTTTGCATTTTTTTTATTTTTACATTTCTTATGCCAATTTTTGCCATTAATTTTGTGATTTCTTAGCTTTTCTCATGCATATATATAAATACATGTATCATATATTATTTCCTTCTTTATATATACACATGTATTATATATATGCACATGTATATTATTTTTTTTATTTTTATTTCCTTTTTTTATTTTTTACACATATATTTTTTCATATGGCTCAATTTTTATTGGACACTGTATAAGAGAATTTTGTTATTTTCAAAATTTCATAACTTGACTTTACTCATTCTAGTGTTTATTTCTTTCTTTATGGTTTTTTTAGTAGGTAAGATGACTTATTTCAAGAATATCTCCTCCCCTTTGATAATGTCGAATTGATGATTTTTTAGTTTGAAAGTTAATTATTGGATAAGGCGATCCGTCTATTAGTGCATCCATTGCTCGTAGGACGTGCAACTCTTCGTTCTCGCTTGGATGTTTCGAATTTTCTAAAGATGTGGTATCGGAATGTCGCTGGCGGAAAGCATACCTTGTAATCCTCACTCCACCAACACATGCTGAATGATAATCTCTCCCTTCCGACCTTAGGGTGCCGAATTATAGATGGAGCGTGCACTTGGGATGGTCTTCCCCCTTTCAATAGTAATGTCTCTTATGTGGCCGGCTATTAGGAATGAGCGAAGGACGTGCTGGATCGATGTGAGTGTCCGCTAAAGAGATAATGTATTTACAATGCAGTTTATGCTTTCTTATTTTACTTTGACTATTATCCGGAGATCGTCAAGGCCATTTGCGAGGCGTGGTGTCCCAGTACCAACATCCTTTTGACTGTCGCCGGTGAAGTGTCAATCTCTCTCTACGACTTGGGAAGGCCCGTCAAAGATGCTAAGTCTCGGAGAGTGATCGACACTTCACCGGCGGCATTCAAAAGGTGTTGGTACTGAAACACCATGCCTCGCAAACGGCCTTGACGATCTCCGGAGAATAATCATAGGAAAACAAGTAAGCATAAACTACATCGTAAATGCATACTCTCTTTAACGGACGCTCGTATCGATCCAGCACGTCCTACGCCTATTCTCAATAGCCGACTACATAAGAGAAATTGCCATCGAAAGAGGGAAGATCATCCCAAGTGCATGCCCCTTTCATGATTCGGCGCCCCAAGGTCAGAAGGGGGGAGAGTATCATTCGGAATGTGTTGGTAGAGTGAATATTGCAAGGTATGCTTTTTGCAAGCGACATCCCGAGACTGCGTTTTCGGAAAATTCGGAACATCCAAGCTAGAGCTAGCAGTTGCACGTCCTACGAGCGATGAATGCACCAATAGACTTGTCGCCTTATCCAATTGTTGGCTTTCAAACTAAACAATTGCCAACTAGGACATTACAGAAAGGGGATGAGACATTTTTGAAATAAATCATCTTACCTACAAAAAAATAAAAACAAGGATCAAAAGAGGAGAAAAATAATAATAATAATAATAATAATAATAATAATAATAATAATAAAAAGAACACAAGAGCAAGAAACCTATCTTAGAATGGGAGGAATTGAAATTTTGAGAATGATAAAATTCTCTTGTATTGAAAGGTTTATATAGTGTCCAAAAATAATGAGCCATATGAAAAGAATATATGTTAAGAAAGAAGAAAATAAAGGAAAATAAAAATAAACATAAAAAATAAAAAAAAATATATGTATATATATACATATATAGTTGTACATATAAGGAAAAGAAGAAAATAATATGTTATATATAATATATGTATACAAACGCATGAGAAAAGGAAAGAAATAATAAAAATTATGGTAAAAATTTGTCATAATATATATATACATATATATATATGGCAAAAAAATATCGCCGTACATAAAAAAAAAAAATTGCAAAAAAATAAAGATGAAAAACTGAAAAACTTGCAAAAAAATATATATAGCAAAAAAAAAGGCCATATATACAAAAAGAAAAACTGAAAAATATATGTATGGCAACAAAAAAAGTCATATATACAAAATAAAATTGCAAAAAAATATATATGGCAAATAAAGATGATGTCCAAAAAGAAAAAAACAAGAGGATATTTAAAAAAAAATAGAATATTTCGAAACTTATTCACGCATTAAAATAGTTGTTGTATTTGATTTAAACAAGTTTTGGAGTATTTTGAAGATATTAAAAAATAAATGCCCTAAATTCAATTAAATATTATAAAGTTTAGGAGAAAATAAAATCTCATTAAAGTAAATATATAATATTTAATTATTCATATACGTTAATTATTACATTAAATATTAATTATTAATGCAAAATATGCTTAAAATAAAAAATATCCTACAAATATTATATATATATATAGAGTTATAATAAATTTGGTAATCAATTAAATAAATATTTTCAATAAAGGAACTATTATAAGTAATATCTTTCGAGAAAGAAAATAATATAAATATCTTGACAAAAAAGAAAGATGTGCAATCCAATCCTTCAAAAATAGAAAACGACATCCGCGAGAAAGGAAGAATTACAAAATCTTTCCGTCGGCCAATCACGTCACGTGGTACCATTCGAAAATGAAGTTGATGCTACCCTCCCTTATAAATAGGGCCGAAATTCATTTGAAGACTCGAGCAAAGAGGTAAATCTCTGTACTATTTCTGCAATGTTCTTCGTGTCCTTTGAAGAAGTGTTCTTATTCGAAAAGTCCGATTTGGACAAATAATTCAATATTGATTGAAAAATCGATGAATTAACGTTCTTTGTCGTATGCCCAAGTCGAAAGAAATATCAAAGTTCCAAAAGCTATTGAAGAATCCGCCAAAGCCAATGAAAAGATTCAAAAGTTTATCCTAAAGGTTCAAAATATTTTTCACATTCTTTGTCAAAATCATCAACCTGACTTTCTTTGATCCAAAAGTCAAAGGAATATATGCCGTGAAGAAGCACTATGGAGGATCAAATCCACATCTTTAGAGATCAGAGCCTCAAATCCATCAAAAGGAGTCTTCAAATCCAAAATCGACTATCCACGCGAAGACCAAAATCCAAAACGATGACCAAATATATTCAAATCAAAGAAGTCACCGAAATTCAAATTAGAAAATAAGAGAATCAAAGAATCTAAATAAAGAATAGAACCCGCGTTACATTTGAATTAAATATAACTTGTAGAAAATTTCGTGTTTACGAAATTAACACAATTCTTTTTTTTTTTTTTTTTGTCTACAGTAGTGTAATAAAATAATATAATATCTATTGTATCTTTACTAAAAAAAACTATAATATATTTTTTTTAATTTGAACAAATTAAAATAACAAAATGAAAATTTAGCCTTGAATGTAGGAAATAATAATTTTATCATGATAGTGGTCTTATCAAATCAACTAAAATTCATTTGTAATAAATTTGTAAAATACTTATGCATGATTTATACGTCTTTAGAAACTTGCTACGTCGGTCGCGTTGATTCAAAATTTATGCCTAAAATAATTTTTATATAGGTTCAAGATAATAAATGAACAATTGAGGTATTTTTAAAATATATAAAAATATATTTATATTTTTAAGTTAAAATATATTCTAAACTCTACTAATAAATAATAAATGAATAAGTTAAAAAATATTTCATTTAAATTATATATATATATAACGTCTTTTGATAGATTGATGATATTTATTTATGCTATCACTACAAGAAAAAATCATTTTTGTAACAAAATTTTTTTGTCTCTAAATCTACTTTTTCCGTTACTAATGACATTAGAGACGGAATTAGGAACGGAATTACGTTACAAATATATTATTTTT